AAAATCGGGGCACTCCAACAAAAGAAAGACGGCAAGCGTAGGAGACCGAAGGATGACAGTGTTTGAATGTATTGCACGCCCAACTTGGGCGTGCACTGCATAAATGGGCGCCCAAGTTGGGCTTTTACGCGTTTTGGGGGGATTTTTTGATTTTTTTGGAAAGTTTTGGGGTTTTAGTGAAATAAAGTGTTTTTTTGGGGGATTTTGTCAAAAACCGCAAATAGCAATTTTCAAACCGCAAAAAACAATTCTCATTCTATAAACATTAAATTAGGTCGGATTTACAAAAAATGGGAATAAATTAAGATTTTTAAAATATTAATTATGATTAAAGAAAGGGGTCATTAGCAATAAGCCCCTCGTATAGCTAATAAATGGTGATATGTCCACCCCTTAAATCTTTCTTTGTGATAACTCCCTATAAATTGTATTCCCAATAATACCCTTGAGTCAATTAGCATAATTTGTCTCAATTATTCCTTTTCACTCTCCTTCCATAACAACAATTTAATTCCCTAAAAAAATGCTTCCAAATTCCTAAAAATATGCTACCAAATCAAAAATAAATAAATAAATTGAATATTATACTTTTTATTTTTTATTATTTCGGATTTATTCGCTTTTTTTTTCTTCTTATTTTTTATTATTTCAGATTTATTTCGCATTATTTTTATTTTTTAATTATTTTTTATTTTTTATTTTTTATTTTTTAATATTTTTTTAATAAAAATATTTTTTAACAAAAAAATGATTTTTTTTTCTCAACTTGTTTACTTTGCCGACTATAGGTGAATATGACTATATCGACTGTAGTCATATTTATTTTTTATATAGCTGCTTTTTATATTTTCAATTTATAAATTTCGATTATATAATGTCAGAGTCATGTTTACCAAATTATATAAAAAAAACAAAAATTGCCTATTGTTTACGAAAAACGTCCACACAAAAAAATCACAATTTGAATGTTGTTATTACAAGTCAACTTGAAACGAAAATGTGGAACATATTTGAATATGACTACAGTCATATTCAAACTGTAGTCATATTCAAATATGACTATAGTCATATTACTACTGCTAGTTCAGATCTGGAGAAAGAAAAAATATTCGAATATAACTATAGTCATGTCGAATATGACTATAGTCATGTTACTGCTCATAGTTTAGATCTGAAGGAAAAAAAATCGAAAAAAAATACACAAATAGAGAGAGAAATATAACAAAAGAGAAAGAGGGGAGTTCACGACAACGGCGGTGGCGGCGGTGAACGAAAGCGAGAGTAAGAGAGGTTAATAAATCACTAATCGAGTGAATTAGCAATAGTCATATTCGAACCAGACTATAGTCACGTTAATTCTGCTGCTTCAGATCTGGAGAAAGAAAAAAATATTCGAATATGACTATAGTCATGTCGAATATGACTATAGTCATGTTACTGCTTATAGTTTAGATCTGAAGGAAAAAAAATCGAAAAAAAAATACACAAAACGAGAGAGAAATATAACAAAAGAGAAGGAGGGGAGTTCACGATAACGGCAGTGGCGGCGGTGAACGAAAGCGAGAGTAAGAGAGGTTAATAAATCACTAATCGAGTGAATTATCAATAGTCATATTCAAACCAGACCATAGTCACGTTAATTCTGCTGCTTCAGATCTAGGAGAAAAAAAAAGAAAAAAAGTCAGAAAATAATGAAAGGAAGGGAAGGGGAGGCGGCAACAACGACGGTGAATGAAAAAGAGAGTGGAGAAGGCAACTACAATGTTGGTGGTGGACATATCTGATTTTTTTTTTTGAGAAATCGAGAGAAGTAACAAAAGAGAGATAAAAAACCTTACCAAGAGACGAAGGACGCGGCGGTGGCAACGGGCGGCAATAGTGGTGGTGTAAAGATCTATGTGAAGACGATGGTGGTGTAAAAAGAGAGAGAAACTGAGAGTGATAAAGAACGAGAGAGAAAGATATTTTTGTGGAGATGAAGGGGGAAACGACGACGGCAATGAGTGGCGGTGACTCGGCGGCGACGGCGCGGCGGTGGCACGGCGGCGGCGGCGGGTGCGGCGGTGGAGGATGAAGGTTGGAATTTCCGGATTGAATTGAAGGAGGTGGAGAGGTGGAGAAGATGAAAGTGATAGATGTGGGCAAATAATTAGGGTTATAGTAGTTGAGGGTATATTTGTCTTCTCACACTAGTATAGGGGGGTCTCACTAATTAAGAAAGAAATTTGGGTGTAGGAAAAGTCTTTAAAAGTCAATTGGGTTTAGTTCAAAATATTTTTCATTTAAGGGGTGTATTGCATATTTCCCCTTAAAGAAAATATCTTTTTATAATGTTTGGGTGTAAGATATATTGGTCAACATTTATCAAATTTGAAGAGTGGGCCGTCGACTAATTTCTGTCAAAGGTCCAGTGGCCCTTGTTTGTGAAGGTCAAGTGGGCTGTGTTTATGGTTGACAAAAGAAAAAAAAAAATCATTTAAATTTCATTACCAAAATTATAATAATTTGAAAATGTATTTGGTACAATAAATATTGTTCGTCATAATTATGGTATGATTTGATTTTACCCCTTAGTTTGGAGATCGTTGGTGATTTTCCATGCACACAAGCGTATACCACTACTGTAGTACGAAGCGATAGAGGGTCGTTCATTTGGCTGAAATTGATCGCAGACTGTGATGTGAGGAGGCACAGACTATGTAAACATTAAATTTAGATAATTATCCATAAATATCCACAATTTGGATAATTTAGAGTTATATTTTCGCTCCTCAAATCATGTCATTTGAAGATCATACGAGTGCGATATGACCAAAATTGCAAACAACAACACTTATTAATTTCTTCTCCGGACGTTGATACTTGTACTTTTCACTCATTATCCATGCGTTAATGCATGTTTGCCTACAGAACACTAAGTACACCATAAAACGAGCAATAATCCATGTCTGAAAGTAATGAAATAGAATGCAAATCATGCACTCATTAGGGACCCGATTATTTATTATGAGACGAGTACCGATTTAATTAGAAATTTGTATTCCAAAAATAGATATTATTCATAAAAAAAAAAAAAAAAACTATTTTTAGTAGTTTTAAGTTTTAGAGCCTTCTCAAAATTCCTTCATTTAAAATAACAAATAAAATATACAGTTACAAACGAAAACATTTCTTTCGAATTAGTCCAACTCTTGCACCAAAAGGCGAAATCCCTCGCCCCCAGGGCACCCATCCCTTGGCCCGACAAAGATTGATAGAGGAATGTAAATTATGGTAACTCAACGACCCGGACCCGGACCTGGTGCCCACAAGAATCCAACCCTCATTGGAGTTGAAATTCCCACACTGCGGCTGCCAGGATTCGATCCTAGGACCTTGCACCAACTTACCACCTCCGGAACCAGTTGAGCACACCCATGCGGGCAACTAGTCCAACTCTTAGTGTTATTAGTGGTTGATATAAAAAGTTTAAGTAAGCTATTTAAAATAATTTTTCGATTTTTTCATTTTAAAAGTTGTAACCGTGTAGCCGTGCGAATTGACTTTTAGCTTTAGGAATCCTCTAAAAATAAATAAAATGGCAACGGGCCTTTGTCGGCAGCACCACCACACAATGATATAAAATTATATAATTTAATATAATGATTTATTTAAATTCCAGTAGTGAGTAAGTAATGTAATGTCATATTAGATTCCTATGATGAAATGAAATGATATATTATATATATAAAAAATATATCTCTCTGGGTCTGTAATTTATGCGCAAATAATTTGGTCCAACGAAGAAGAGTGGAGAGGTGACAGTCGGTCTCACGAATGGGATAAAAAGCTGAAATACCCATTGCGTCCTTTTTTTTTCTTTTCTTTTCTTTTTTAAATTTTTGTCAGAAGAAAAAAGATGAGAGAGAAAGAGAGTAGAGTAGAGAGAGAGAGAGAGTGAATGAGTGGTGTGTGTGATGGGAAAGGGAAAGGGCAAACTTTATAGAGTACACAGTGCTGCAGCAGAGAGAGAGAGCAAGAGAGAGAAAGAAAGAGAGAGGCCTTTGATAATAAACATTACAACTACGCTGACACCAATAATAACGCTTATATGGCCACTCTGCATTTTTGACTCCCCTTCGATCTCGACTCTTTTTTCTCCCCTTCCTTTGACCACAATTACAATTCATTAATTAATCACATTTATAATAGATAATTGCATCATTTATTTATCAATTATCCAATATATATATATATATGTTAATCAAACACCAAATACTACTCCGACTATTATATATATAATTAGATGTAGCATCTAATAGATCGTCAACAACTCAAATAATTCGGATAGTTGAGATCGATCGAGAGTAGTCTTTACAATGCACATCGATTGTGCCAATAAAAATATATAAATATTATAGAAGTAATTAATTAATTAATTAATATAGCAATGGTTAAATTATATTATAATTTAACTAAATAATCAAGAGTTTTAATTTATAATAGATATAATTATATATATGTATTTACTAATTGATATTATTATTAGGTAGGGGTGGTGGTAGTACTATTTGGAAGAAGAGGGTGGTGGTGGTGGTTGGTTGTTTTTGTTGGTGGCAGCCAAAGCAAGGATTGAAGTAGCGAGCTTGTTAATGGCGTCGACAAGGCCATTAATACCTTGTTTATTGATCTCAGCCTTTGACTCTTCGATCTGCAGTCTTCTCTCATGCACCCTCAACACTTGTCTGTGCCTTCTCTCTTCTCTCTCCTCGCACGACTGTATCGCTTCCGCTATCATCGACGCGCTCTTTGTTATTGCACTCCCTACTTCCTGCAACGCCGCCGTATCTCCGCCGCCGCCGCCGCTTGTTCCTTCCTCTCCGCCGCCTCTTCTCTTTCTTCTCCTCTTCGCCGGTGAGTCTGAGTACTCACTAGTATCCGAATCTGACTATCACCAAATTCTATATTAATTAACCTCATAATTAATTACTAAAATATCAATTCCGACAACAATATAAAAGTAATATTCCCAAGTGGGGCCAATTATAATATTTCACGCAAATTAATTAATTAAACAAATCATGTCAATTTGATGGATATTGGACAACGATCAAGAATATGGTTTTTTTTTTTTTTTTCTTTTTTTTGTAATTAAAAAAGAGAGTACCTACTGTGGGCATGGGCTGAGAAGAGGGAATAGTAGCAATGGGCGGCGGCGGAGGCAACGGTAGCAGCACCGGCCGAGCCTGAACAATATTAGGATACTGCTGCTGTACCGGAGGCGGCAGCGGCGGCATTGGAGCATAAACAATAGTAGATTTCCCCACAACATTACCTGCAGGGGGCGGCGCAATATTTGAGTTGGAACCACCACCAACCGGCGGCGGCGGCGGCGGCGGCGCCGCCACCACGACCCTATGATCTTTCCTCTCGACGACGGCGACCAGGGCGTCGTATATCTGGGGCAACATATTGGAAGGCAAATTGTTGTCCTTCCTCTCATTCTTTTCGATCCTCCAATAAGATTTACTATCGGCAAAACCTCGCTCCGCCACTCTCCGCTCGTAATCCCTAACTTTCTTGAAATCCCTCATCAGATTATCCCACTTATCATTGCACTGATTTTGGCTTCTCAAACAATCATTCTTCCAGCAATAATCCTCAACCCATTTCCATCTCAGCTCAGCCGGCTTACCCCTCTCAGCCGTATCGCCGAGCCGCTTCATTCGTCGGTCATCGTCCATTCTCTTAGCTTCAATCAGGACCATTGTTTCTTGAATGTTCCAGTTACCCTTTCTGTACTCCCTCGATACATTATTATTATTAATATTGCCACCTCGATTAGCTACAGTCAGATCCATGCAACCAAACAATATGTTAATCTCGACCGCAGTGAATTTCAGACAGAGACAGTGTGCGTGTGGATGTGTTTTTTTCTCTTTTTTTTTGGGGTTTTGGAAGGAGTGGGGAGTATACAGTGACAACTGGAGAGAGAGAGAGAGATGAAGAAAAAAAGGGGGTTTTCTTTCTTTATAATATATGTAAAATTTGAATCTTTATATCATCAAAAATGGTGGTGTTCAAAGCAAAGGTAAATGGTCAATATGGAGTCTAGTTCAGGGAAATAAAATAATTAACCATGTGTGAGTATGTATGTATATGTGTGTGTGTGTGGTGGTGTGTGTTTTGCGAATTGAAAAGATCATGAATTATGGGAGAAAGCAAGTGAGGTGAAGTTGCATCAGTAATCACCATCATTCATGTATTTCACTTTAGCTTAAAATCATGGAAAATCTTGAAAGCTAAAAGTTCATATATCTGAAACTACTAATTATTCTACTCACTAATAACCCTCCGACCCAAAGTCATGGAAAACTGAGAGAGAGATCTAGAGAGAGAAGAGAGAGAGAGAGAGAGAGGAGAGAGAGAGGGTATCTATTATGATAAGAAAAGGCCAAAAAATTCCATTCAACCTGACACATCCCACAACCCCAAGAAAATTTGTGTGTCTGTGTGTGTGTGTGTGTGTGTGAGAGAGAGAGAGAGAGAGAGAGAGAGAGAGAGAGAGAGAGAGAGGTGGATGGGATGATGAGTGGGATGAATTACAGCGTTTCTTGCATGGGAGAGAGAGAAAAAAACTGTGAATTTGACTGCCAACAGAGTGGAAAATATATCCACAGCTGCTACATTAATCATATACCACCACATTTTTCTTGTTTGACAACAAACAGAAGATGGTATATTATATAAGTAACTAATTAGAGACCATCAGATAACAATTTCAACCATTGCATGGGATTAGTTGCTTGATTACCAATCAGGAAAACATGCATAATATCCAATTAGGGCTGTAGAAAAACGTACTTAGACCATGCATATATATACATGCGAATTTAGCTAGAAAAAAAAATAAAGTGTGTGCAGTTAGTTTCACTAATCATGCAGCATCAGGTGAATTGGTGTGATTGTGGTAGTTCTTTATTACCATAACACTTATTCCAATAGGACAAGATTCGCTAGCTACATGCACCACTGATCGATATATAGTATATATAGTGCACTAATCATTAAATTTCTGACTCTAATTAATCCCATATTAATATACTATATATTATGCACCATGCAATAATAATTAACAGCACACCTAGCTCACTTTTTGATACGCTCGTCTAGATTTTTTGACTTTAAAATAAACAATATTATTTTGGATGATAAGTAGTATATATTTAATTGAGATATAAATAATTAATTATCCTAAAATAAATCTGAAATCCAAATATTTATTCTCATTCAGGGTGGTGTGGTGGTAGGTTTTGAGGGAGGAAAGGGAAATTAATGAACAGTTAGGTCCAATGGGGGGAATACAGATGTCAATTTCATCTGTTGACGTCAGGAGCATTTAAAGCTGGGTGTGCCACGTCATTGAACTTTATTCGGGCTTTTATATCATGCCAGCTAGGACTGCAGAGTGGGGCCATTCTTTCTTTGACTGCCTCTGCTTCTTTGACCGAACAAGGACGGCTTCCTCGGGACCCACTCACACCCTTACACGTCACTGTCGTTGTTAGTTCTTGGACTCTAGCCTGTCCTCTGTTTTCTCGTATTTCGGGTTACGGCCCAACTTATATCGGGCTATGAACCAGGCCCAAATTATCAAATGGGCCCACTGTAGGCCCGCAATAGTAGAAGCCCATAAGCGGAGCCCGGAATTTTGTAGAATATAAATATTTTTCAGTAATTTACTATAATATCCTCCGAGTAACAACGGTAAACTCCGCCAGCTGTCCAAGATGGTGGCACTGGAAAAACGGATAAGGAAAGTTTTACCATAAGTTGAACGGTAAATTATTTGGTAATTTTCTTAACACGTGTCTTAATAAAAAACGGGAATCTAGGTTAAATTTCAATAATATTATTCTTTCCTTTCTTCTCAGGATGTTCTAAACTTCTACCACCTTCTCTCCCTGCTCCCAAAAATTCAAATTCCCCTGTTTTCGCACACACCACACCGTTCGGTGGCTGAGATGGCCGGAGATTCTTTCCCCACGCAGCTGATCGGCGGCGGCGGAGAATTCAACGCGGCGGGTTTACGGAATTTTGTCGACTCCATTAAGTTTCAGGCATGTGGACTGTCGTATGCGATCGTTGCCATTATGGGGCCCCAGAGCAGTGGTATGTTCTTTGTCCGCACAACTTTAGCAGTGTGATAAGAGTTTTCGATTCTTCAGCTATTTAATTAGTGGCGATTGTAAACTTGACTTGATTATTTCACAATTGCGAAAGTGTTTGTAAATCATGGCCTACTTGAAAGTATTGATTTACTCTTGCCTATCCACTTCAATTTTCAATTCAATTTTCATTAGTTTGTTGTTGATTTTTTGTTATGTTATCAACTTAAAATCTTAATTATTTCATTGTTCTGGATTGAGTTTATTACGGCAACCTCAAATTGGAATTCTGATTGACGGTGGTGGGTAGTTATCATTACCAACATGAATTCATAATTTCATAGATTCGTTGCCAGGAATCTGGATCACGTACGGAGTACGATCGATGTTTTTTTTATTTTAATCACTTATAAGTTATAAGTCATAACAGCTGATTGGTGGTCTAATTCACAGGGAAAAGCACTTTGTTGAATCATCTATTTTGTACAAACTTCAGGGAGATGGATGCATTCATGGGAAGGTTAGAACAATGTTTGCCTTCAGTTTCTTTTTATATACATTCACCGACGTACGATTGAGACAATCAAATACGTTACATGCTATCTTTTGGTTACATTAAACTAGGAACCAGACGACAAAGGGAATATGGATAGCGAAGGCTGTTGGCATCGAGCCACTTACTATTGTCATGGACTTGGAGGGTACAGATGGCAGAGAAAGGGGCGAGGTATTTTTTTTCTCCTTTATGTTTTGTCTATGATAATACGGTTTTATGAATTGTTTTGCTTTCAATATGGAGAAATTGATAAAACAAAGGATAAAACGGCAGAATTTCCTTACTAATTTGCCAATCGGCAGTTTCTTCACTAATCTCCCGTATTAGCCCAGCCAGCGGAACACTTCAATTTATGTTAAATATATGGTTTCAGGATGATACAACATTTGAGAAACAAAGTGCATTATTTGCTCTAGCGGTCGCTGACATTGTCCTTATAAACATGTAAGTTTTGCGACTTAGCTCCACGGTTCCAGGGCACTAATTTGCTACGTTTCAGAAATAAAAGTTGGGCATTATTATTCATTTAAATCTCCGATAATAACCAGTTTTTCGATTCTCAAGTGTCTGCATATGTTTGCAGGTGGTGCCATGATATTGGTCGGGAGCAAGCTGCCAATAGGCCTCTTCTAAAAACTGTGTTTCAGGTTCATAGCCTTATATTTGAGATTTGTATGGCATAATTCTTCTTTGCTTATCATAGTTTCTTTTATTATTTGATAGGTTATGATGCGCTTATTTAGTCCTCGTAAAACGACACTACTCTTTGTTATACGTGACAAAACAAAGGTATGTTAGGAAGTCAAGTATTTTGCTCTCTTCATCCGTCAGTGTTTTTCTTGAAGTGATCATTGTCTTGTATACATGTAGACCCCGTTCGAATATTTGGAGCCTATCTTGAGAGAGGATATCCAGAAGGTATTGGACCAAATTATTCTATTATTGCCTTGAAAATTTTAAATTATTTATTAATTGAAGGTCTTATTTCGGATATTATTTTATCTTCCCGTTTCAGATATGGGAAACAGTTTCCAAGCCCCAAGCATACAAGGAAACTACTCTCAGTGAATTTTTCAATGTAAGAATAATATCCTGCAAATATTCTCTTTGATAATACTAGTTCCCCAATGTTCATTTCTTATTTATACTCGTCGTACTTGGTCTTGAAGGTGCAAGTTATTGCCTTGTCCAGTTATGAGGAGAAGGAAGAAAAATTCAAAGAAGAGGTGTAACTACAGAAACTCTATATTTTTTTTGTTCTTATTAATGATTTATCGCAACATCGCTACAACTAAGAGTCTCGTTTGCAGGTTGCCCAACTTAAGCAGCAATTTTTCTACTCAATATCTCCTGGAGGGCTTGCTGGTGATAGACGGGGTGTTGTACCTGCTTCAGGATTTTCTTTCAGTGCAGAGCAAATATGGAGAATTATCAAAGAAAATAAGGACCTTGACCTTCCCGCTCACAAGGTGTGTATGTATATATATACACACACACATATACGTATTTGTGTTGAGATTGTAACGAGGATTAGACGGCTTTTTTTCTTCTTAAAGCATGCTACTCTTTTTTCGCCAGGTCATGGTTGCAACTGTGCGCTGTGAAGAGATTGCCGATGAGAAGTTCAGTAGCTTGGCAGCTGATAAGGTTCTCTCCTTCTTTCTGAACTTGCATTATACCAAGTGCGCGTTTGTTAACTCTTAATTTAATACAGGACTGGTTAGCGTTGGAACAAGCTGTACAGAATGGTGCTATTGCAGGCTTCGGAAATAGTACAAGCTCAATCTTGAAGAAATATCTTTCTGAGTAAGTTCACAGTGTTAAATACCTTCAATGCAGTTACTTTTCCTTATGTGTAATTAGCAAAAAGCGTGTGATAAGTATACGACTCTTGTGATTTTGCTTTATGATTCGAAATTTAGTGAATTTTGTTTAAATAAAATTTTCTTGATTACTTATATATAAACATTTGATATACTATATATTTGGGTATGAACAAATATAGAAAATTGATTTGAACATTTCAGCGTTTTTAGCAAAATTTGTGTGCTATATAGTATACATTTTTTTGTGATTTTGCTTGAATATTAAAAAAATAAGTGAATTTCTTTTCGATGAACGATTTCTTGACTAATTATAAAAAATCTTCTATACTATATATTTCGGTGTTTAAATGTTAGAAAAAGATTTGAACATTTCAGTGATTTTTAGCAAAAACCGTGTGCTGTTGTATACGATTTTTTATGATTTGCTTGACGATTCAGAAATTACTGAAACTATTTCATCTATGACAGATATGACGTGGAAACTATATATTTTGAAGATGATGTAAGAAAAGCAAAACGCCAATATCTGGAATCGAAGGCCTTGCAGGCAAGAGAAGAGAAATTTTCTTGGTGTCCTTTCCTTGTTAATAACTGACTAAATTTGATACTATTTGTATTATGTATTTTGCAGTTGGTTTATCCATCGTTTATTACCATGTTGGGGCATCTACGTACAAATGCATTTGAAAGCTTCAAAACTCAACTGGAAAAACTTGTGGGTAGAGGAGAACGTTTTGCTGCATCTGTTCGTACATGTCAGCATTCGTCAATGCTCGAGTTCGATCGTGGATGTTCAGGTGCATAATAATCATACAAGCATGAGTAATCAACTTAATTTTTGTCTTTTCACATAAAATCTTAATTATACAAAATTTTCCAGATGCTGCCATAGAGCAAGCCAATTGGGACACTTCTAAAGTGCATGAAAAACTTCAACGTGATATTGAAGCTCATGCATCTCTTGTTCGTAGTGAGAAGTTGTCTGAAGTATTAGCTGAGTATGAGGTAATTTTCATGGTTAATACCTTAATATAATCTTTTTTTAGCTTACTCTAATTTTCGTGATATTAAATAATTCTGCTTTTGTTTGTCACATGCAGAAGCGACTTTCTGCAGCTCTCACCGAACCATTAGAGTCCCTATTTGAGGCTGGTGGGGCCGACACATGGGCATCTATTAGGAATCTTCTGAAACGCGAAAACGATATAGCTGCATCTGCTTTCTCTTCTGCTATAGCTGGTTATGAATTGGACCATGCAACAGTCGAACACATGGTGCTAAGTTTGAAAGGATATGGTGTACAGCTGGTGGAGAGGAAATCAAGAGAGGAAGCTGGGAAAATTCTTATTCGCATGAAGGATAGGTTCGACTAATATCTCTTTGTGCATTTTTTGCTTTGTTTAAAACCCTGCTCTTGTAATTGTTTAACATCGGAAACTTTCAGATTTGCTACTGTCTTCAACCATGACGAGGATTCGATGCCGAGGGTTTGGACAGGAAAAGAAGACATTAAAGCAATTACTAAGGAGGCCCGACGTGAGGTAATAATGTCTGAAGGCGATTAAAAATCTGTTATAATTGGATTAATTGTTGACGCGAGAAATTATTCTTTTGCAGTGTCTGAAGCTTTTGTCAACAGTTGTCATAATACGTTTGGACGACAGAAAGGATAGTGTAGAAAATGCTCTTTTTTCTGCACTCATGGACAGAACAGACGTCATCGATTCCCAGAAAACGGGCATTGGAATTTCTCGAGATGTTCTTGCTTCAAGCACATGGGAAGAGGTATTGACCATCGATGCAGCGTGTATTATTATTTTTAATTTTATTTTACAGACATATGTTTGTGTATCATGAGTTGGAGGTTGTAATAGGTCCCTCCAGAAAAGACGTTGATCACACCAGTTCAATGCAAAGCTTTGTGGAAACAGTTTAAGGCAGAAACTGAATACACGGTCGCCCAGGCAATTTCTGCACAGGTGTTGTTTAAGGTTTATTTGTATTATTTATGGTTTCTCTAGTTATGGATTTTAAAAATAAAGAAAAATTACAGGAGGCATGCAAGCGAGGTAGCAATTGGTTACCTCCTCCGTGGGCAATCGTTGCAATGATTATTCTCGGGTTCAACGAATTCATGCTTATTTTAAGGTAATCGCTATTTCACATTCTTTAAACACAATTCGTTGCGTAACTATCTTTTTATGCTGCTGAAACAGGAATCCTCTTTACCTCCTCGTACTGTTTGTTACATTCCTGCTTGTGAAAGCCATATGGGTACAGATAGATATTCCAGGATTGTTCCGAAACGGCGCTGTAAGTAATTTTTGCTCGATAATTGTATCCGTATAGCTAATTTCTGGGTTTAAAACTTCACCCTGGAATATAATATATTTGCAGTTTACCGGGCTTATTGCCCTGTCAACAAGATTCTTCCCAACCGTGATGAACATATTAGGTCGAGTAGCTGCTGAAGATAGACCACCTCAACAACTCGCTTCCTAGAGTTTCAGAAATCGCAAGAAACAATCTGAATCAGAATCGAGTTCAATACTAGATTCGTCCGCTTCAACTGTTTCAACTGAAAGTGGTTTGAAATACTCGAGTGACGACTCCCCTCAGATTAGAAATAGACGAGTAAAACATCTAGGAGAAAGGGGAATTGCACGATGATATAAATTTAGATTTGTATATATTCACCTTTTGCCATACTTGTGCTACGTACGTGTATATTCTGTATATGAGCTGAACCGATGTTGCGGAATTTGATAGACACGTGACATACGGTCACAACTGGCATTGTAGAAAGAGTTATTCACAATAAAAAAATAAATAAAATAAAATAGTTCATCGGAGTTTTGATTGCAGATTACGTTTGAAGAATGGACGACTCGGTTATAGAGCCAAAACTAATTCTGCAATACCTACACTATGCTTTCTGGAAAATAAGGTAATATCGATTCTCCATTTTCTCGTTCTGATAAACGGGGATCAACGGGAGATTTTGTCTAACGAAGTAAATATAATATATGAAACCATGTTGTTTAACGAATGTTGTGTTGCTAACTAATTAACAGGTATCGCTGTATCAGGAGTCGGTTAGAAGGATAGCATCGAGAAAATACGGTGATGTACTTAAACTCCCTGTATGCACATGCATAGTTTGCTTACACGGATTTCGTGCACATAGATGCAGACATAACACATGTACACACACACAGAGACAAAGCAATTACATGCATACATATATATTTATCTCATATATAAAATGCTGATTGTATATGCTGCACGACTTGTCAAATTCTTATTGGTTAACTCCGGCGCGTGGTGGTGGTATTATTGTAAATTTTAAAAAAAAAATCATTGGTGTGGATCTGAGTCAACAACGAACATCTGTTCAACGCCCATCTGTTAAGAGTAGGCAATCCCTCGTGCTCTTCTCCACTTTGTTTTAATTTTTTATGCATTTGCTTGCTTGCCCCTATTATTGTTCTTGATTTTCAAAATTATGTATTAATTTATTGTTTAAGTGATATTAAAATTAACTTATATTTAATACGGAAATATTTATTTTATAGTAATTGTGTTTGAATCTCAGTATGTGTGTAGTCATCCAGACAAACACGAGCAAGGATGCTCCACCCCACGTGCACTGGGGTCTGACTGCTCACCTTTTCATTTGTTTTTTTGTTATCATTTGATAAACAATACCCCACTTAAAATATTTATTTATTTTTTAATTTTTTAATTTTTAATTTTGAGGAAAAAAAAAACTCATATAATTTTACTCAACGGAAAACAATTAACTAATATGTATGTATAATAATGTAACGAATTAGGGGGCAGATTTTTTTTTTTTTGATCGATTAGGGGGCAGATAATTGGCGTAGCAAGTGATTGGGCAGATAGATAGGCAAAGAAAGCAGTTATAGTCAAACAAAAGGGCCCATGGGCCCCTTACAGAACACAGCGGGCCCAATATATACTGTCCCGGTCAAACTCTTCGCTGTCGTCATTTTCCGGATATTTATATTCTATGTGTGGGCCCCACAATAACGCTTGTAACACAAAATATAAATAAGCGTATATTTTGTAAATAAAAATATAATTACAATATTTATTATCAAAGTGAATGTAGTATAAATTTTTATAAATCAATAGTACTAAAATATTAAATTATTGAACTAATAATTTAATATGTTTAAAAACTAGTATTTAATTAAATATGATTAAGCAGTGAAAAGCCACATAAAGAAAAGGATGGGGCGTGTACAGTCAAAGCAACACTGTCACGGCGGTCAAGGTGTTGTTAGTCCCAACTTTTTTATCGAATTTCCAACCTTTTTTATATATTTTTTAATTCAAAATAAAAAAATAAATAAAGCTATTGAAATTCGTATCTCCTCCTCTGTCTATATTTTAATACTTTCCTTTTATTTAATTAATTTTTTTTTTAAATAGGGAAATTAACAGATAATAAACATTACAAGTATGCGTGTTACTATTCAATGTAGTCAACAAGGAAAAGGAGAAAACAGCCCTTTCTCTCTCTCCTCTCCAATTATCTGTGAATTTCTCTCTCTAGTCTCTCATTTTCACAGGTTTGAGAGCTTCGTTTCTTTGATTCTTTCTCTTATTTTGTCGCATTTTATTTTTCTAGATCTCTGTTTGGTCCGGATTCATTGCTTATTCAGCCCCCATCTTTTGTGTGCGTGGTGGTGGTTTCAACTCTTTTTAGAGGCTTGAATTGATTTCTATTTTTCCTTTTTTTCTTTTGGGGAAGAGTGTTGATTGTGAATGATCTATGATGTGCTGTATGATTGTGCTGCTCTTTTTGAGTTTTGACCACTAAACTAGAGAGAGAAAATCACATAAAGTGAACTAGAGAGAGAAAGCAGTAAGAGAGAGAGAGAGGGAAAGATGTACCTTTTGAAGGAGTGGAATGCTGCTTGGTTCCATTCTCTCTTTAGCCTTTTCCACTCCACACATGTGTTCTTGTTTCCTTGAAAGCCTTTGGTTTTTGGGGATTATTGGGGATTTTTTTTTTTTTTAAACCCTAGAAGAGGATTTTGCCAATATGCCTATGTATCAGCCTTCAAAGAGAGATGGGCTACTTGGATTTGAGGGTTTTGGAGATGGTCTTATATTAGATCTAAATACAGAGGCGAAGCATGGTGTTGCAGCAGCTGCGATTTACGGTGGAGGTGGGATTGGTGAGAAATTGGATCTGAAGAAGATGATTGAGGAGCTGAATTTACCAGAAGTGCCATTGGTTTTTGTTTGCCCAATTTCTCTTGAACCAATGCAAGAGCCAGTCACCCTTTGCACAGGGCAAACCTACGAGAAATCGAACATCCTCAAATGGTTCAGCTTGGGCCACTACACTTGCCCCACCACTATGCAAGAACTCTGGGACGACACGATTATGCCGAACAGTACGCTCCACCATTTAATCTACACTTGGTTCTCTCAAAAGTATGTGCAGATGAAGAAGAGATCCGAAGATGCCCAGGGAAGAACATCCGATCTTCTCGGCACTCTTAAAAAAGTTAAAGGCCAGGCGAGAATCCAAACCCTCAAAGAGCTCAAGCAAGTCGTGGCGAACCATTCAACCGCTAGGAAAACGGTTGTTGACGAAGGAGGGGTGGCGCTTCTTTCGTCTTTACTCGGTCCCTTTACCTCGTATTCCGTAGGCTGTGAAGTCATCGCCATTCTCGTGAATTTGACACTAAATTCTGAATCGAGGTCGAATTTGATGCAGCCCGCAAAGATATCGTCCGTTGTGGATACTTTAAACGAAGGGTCTTTAGAAACGAAAGTCAATTGTGTCCGTCTGATCGAGAGATTGATGGAGGAGAAAGACTTCCGTGCGGAAATAATCTCGAGCCATAGCTTGTTGGTTGCATTGATGAGGTTGGTTAAAGATAAGAAACACCCAAACGGTCATTTGCCGGGGCTTAGTCTTCTCAAGCTAATTAGCATGCATAATCAGGTACGGAGTTTGATTGTGAGCATTGGAGCAATACCTCAATTAGTTGAATTGATACCACTCTTGAATCAAGAGTGCTTGGAGTTAGCCTTGTTTATATTGGATGCTCTGTCTTGTGTGCCCGAAGGGAGACAGGCTTTGAGGGATTGTTCGAAAACTATACCTAGTATGGTAAAGATACTGATGAGAATATCCGAAAGCTGTACAGAATATGCTCTTTCGATCTTGTTGTCTGTGTGCAAACTATCGCCGGAGGAATGCTCATCCGTAGCTGTGGATGCAGGTCTTGCTGCAAAGCTACTTCTTGTAATCCAGAGCGGTTGCAATCCAGCACTCAAGCAGAGGGCGGCCGAGCTATTGAAGCTATGTAGTTTGAATTATTCAGATACAATCTTCATTTCCAAGTGCAGATTAACCAGGACAATCCAATGAATTTGGAGCGTTGACCATCTCGGATAAAGTCAAACTGAGAAGTTTGCAGAGTCGTGAGACGCGGATTTTGCTTTCCTTGTATAGTATTTGGGCTGTTGGTTCGAACAAATGTGGGGTTTCAGTATTTGCGTTTGCTTTCACGATACAGTTTGTGGCTCTTGCCAAACTTTCAATCGGAAAGTTTGTAGTGTTGCTCCCGCATTTTCGGAATCCTAGAGGATTGGAAGGCCCTCGAATAATCTTTGCAACTTTGTCAAAATTTTGTACGGGCAGAGGGTAGAAACGATGTATAAAGGGGTCTCTTTTGGCTCCATCCATTCAACATGTATATTTTCTTCACGAAATTTCTTTTTTATTCTTATGGATAAACATCTTCTATATTATATATGAGTTTGAAACATTATTTAAAAGAAGAAGATTTGGAAACTTCATCGATCTTTAGCTTGTTTGTGATTTTGCTCAATTGTAGAACTGGTGAAATGATTTTTCGATGAACTATAGTTCTTGACTACTAATATAATTTGAAGTTAAAAAATAATAATTTTTTTTAGAAATTTAAACGATTTTCTTGCAAAATGCGCGTGCGAATGTATACAATTTTTTGTATTTTTGGTCGACTATTAAAAAATTAGTGAAACAACTTCTAGATGAATTATTTATTGACTAATAATGACAATACAAATTTTATATATTTGAGTATTACCCAAAAAAATGAAGAAATTCCATTTCAACAAAAAATGTGTTCCATTGTATAGAATTTTATGTGATTTTGCTCGATTATTAAAAAATATTGAGAATAATTTATAGAACTATTTATTGGCTAAAAATGAATAAACATTTTCATATTACATATGTATGTGTTAACAAATATTAAAAAAAAAAGTATTCAAAATTTCATTGATTTTCACCGAAAATGTATACTGTACACAGTTTTTGGTGATTTTACCAACCGGTTAATATAAGTGAGACAGTTATATGAACGATTTGTTGATTGTTTATGACAAACATCTTGTATACTATGCCGGTTAAAAATCACAATTAAAGATATAGAATTAAATACAAGTACCATACTTAATGAATTCAAAACTGAAGACATGGAAGCATTAAATATCTTCAAGAGAATTAATGGCACTTGCTGCTATATAAACAAGGCATTTGAAGAAGTAATTCATTCCATAAAAAGAAGAAAGAAAAAAAAATGGCTTACTATTTGCACAGAATAATCTTCATTGCTCTTGTACTCGCAATTGCAGTTCCCTCTTCATTGGGTCGCAGAGAGAAATCAGAGATCGAGAAAGACCTAAGAAATCTCTGCTCCCAGACAAATAGAACAAAAGAGTGCTTGTACTTCGTCAAATCCGAGATCAACAGGTTCAACCAGTCGGATTTCAAAGGCGTGGCTGGTGTCGTAATCGACCTGGCAATAGCAAAATCCGATGCAATCAATGATCTTCTTAATCGGCTTTACCAGGGTTCCAAAGACGAGAAATTGAAAGAAAAGTATCTGTCGTGCTCGAAGAATTACAACGACGCCAACCGCAACCTCTATCTAGCAAAGATAAACTTAGATTCCGATCATTATCAGAATATTCCTATCCAGATAGAAGATACTGTTGAAGAGTTGGACAGCTGCAGGCGTGAGTTCGTCAAGGGCTCGTTCGACCCGGCCCATATTAGGAACAGAAATAAGGAATTTAGACTTTACGTAGAAATTGTCAAGGTCGCCACGGACCGTTTGGTCAAGGAAAAGGACCGCAACTAATTAAAACCAATTTAATATTAGTACGAAAATGAGATGTGCATGTTATTCTAAAGCAATATATTGTTTTTTGCAAATAAATTATTTTAAAAAATTAAAAATAAAGTATTATTTTACCTATAAAAGTAGTGTAGTATAAATTTAATAGAAAAGCTAATGAAATCGTTATATATCTTCCAAACTAATAAAAAGGAAAAGTCCAGAAGGGGGGGCTCAAATAAAAAGATGATATGTAAAAAATTAAGGACAACAATCCATAGACTTCGAGAATTAAAAAAATTCCAATTACAGGTATCAAGTATATTTATATTTATATTTAAAAAATAAAGACAGAAGTTTGAATTTCTTCTCAGCTACATACGACAAAGTGAACAAGGAGTCATGTTGGTAATCTAGAAAATCTTGAACCCTTGAATAATGTAATCAAATAAGTAAACTTGTATGAATAAATATGTGTTCTCTTCTTGATGATGAGTAACTTCGTTTTTTGCAAAAAATCTGATTCTCAAAATCCTCATTCATAGAAAAATCAAAATCAAACACAAGTCTGCTTACACGAAATGTTTCACGCAGTGGTCGTTTTTCTTCATTCATCAGTTTACTCGAGAACTCACAATCCTCCACACATAAAGAAGAAAAAACATAATTTCCAATTTCTTCCTAACACAGTCATGGCCATTTCAAAAATCATGATCGATTTCAATCATGTAATCAAATAAGTCACTTAATATGAAGATTTCAAAATGTTGTCAATTATGTTCTCGACTATTATTAGCCACTTAATGTGAAGATTTCAAGGTGTTAATTTGTGTTCTCGACTATTATTAGCAATTTTATAACCCATTGTTAATAGCATATTATCACTATTTGGATTTTCATCGGGTTAAACCTGATCCCCATCTCCATACCCTTTTATTAAACCAGTAACGCATGTAATAGCCATTCAAGATAGAATTAAATTCATCTAGAAGTACTATACTTAATGAATTCAAAACTTAAGTTAGATGATGCAAGCATTAAATTTCAACAGCAATGGTACTTAGGGCTATATAAACAAGGCAATTGAATAAGAAGTACTTTATAGCAAAAAAAATAAAAAAATATGGCTTACTTTTTGCACAGAATAATTTTCATTGCTCTTGTTCTCGCAATTGCAGTTCCCTCTTCATTGGGTTGGAGTTGGACTCCTGGCACCGCTTGGGGGAAACCAGAAATCGCAAACTACCTAAAAGAAGTGTGCTCCAATACCAATAAAACAAAAGAGTGCTGGTACATCATCAAACCCCAGCTCAACAGATTCGACGGCGCCCTAATACTAGAATTGGCTCCTATTGCACGTAACCTGGTACAAGAAAAAGCCCATGAAATCAATGACAAAATTGACCGTCTTTACAACGGTTCAAAAAATGAAAACATGAAAAACAAGTATCTGTCGTGCTCCCAGAATTACAATGACGCCATCGCCTACCTCCAACTGGTAAAGATAAGCTATGAGAAAGGTGATTACGATAATATCCTTATCCAGATTGATGATGCTGCTCAAGAATTGGAGTGCTGCAGTCATCAATTCACCGAGAACTCATTCGACCCGGCCCATGTCAGGAACAGGAATAATGAATTTAGAATTTATCTTGAATTTCTTAAGGCCATCACTAACAGCTGGGTCTGGGAAAGTAGAATCGACTAATACCAATTTCATTTTTTTGTATGGAAGTGAAAAAGAGATTATTCTAAAGCAATAAATATACTTGTCTTTTGAAAATAACTAGTGTAATTCTGGATACTGCTTAAGGGTTTTTTTTTTTTTTTTTTTTTCAGTCTAAGACATAGTTATCTTAATCTTATTTTTTTATCTTACATACACATAAAAGATATTAAAGTAGTGTAATCTTATTATATATATAATATAAAATCAAACATAAGCATGCTTACATGAAAGGTTTCAACCAGTGATTGTTTTTTCTTCATTCATCAATTTACTGCAGAATAGTAAAATATAGTACAAATATAATAACCATGCAAAGAATCACAAGTGACAACATTTGCTTGATCGAATTGTAAGCAATTATACTACAGCACTCAAAGTTATCATCACAGTCTAATCAATAACCATTACTTGCTAAATATCCAGACACTAATTGCAAAGCGCCAACACTAAATGCCCTTTATCTAGACAGATTGCAGTCGCCTCCATATTAAGAGTTTTGTGAATTATCAATTAATGGTTATTGTACTATATTTGAATCATGTAATAACACAAGTGACTTCATGTGAAGATTCCAAAGTGTTGTCAATTATGTTCTCGACTATTATTAGCAATTTTATAACCCATCCCTAATAGCATATTATCACTATTTGAATTTTTGTCAGTTTCAACCCCATCTCCATACCCTTTTATTAGACCAAACGCATGTAAATAGCCAGTCAAGATTGAATTAAATTCACTACAAGTACTATGCTTAATGAATTGAAAACTGAAGTTACAACATGCAAGCACTAAATATCAATAGTTATGGCACTTACAGCTGTATAAACAAGGCATTTGAAGAAGAAGTACTTCATTGCAAAATATTAAATAAATAAAGAAGAAAGGAAAAAATGGCTTACTATTTGCACAGAATAATCTTCATTGCTCTTGTTTTCGCAATTGCAGTTCCCTCTTCATTGGGTGATTGGGATTACTGGACGAAACCACAACTCGAAAACTACCTACAAGAACTCTGCTCCCAGACAAATGATGCACAAGTGTGCTGGAACTTCATCAAAGACAAGGCCAACAGATTCAATGAAACGAGTATCTTACGCGCGGCTATTATCGCACTCGACCCGGTAGAAGAAAAAGCCGATGAAATCCACGACAAACTTGATCGGCTTTACAACAGATCCAAAGACAAAAACTTGAAAAACAAGTATCTGTCATGCTCCAAGAATTACAACGATGCCATCAGCTACCTCAAATTGGTAAGAAGAAGCTTTGTTAACTATGATTTTGACAATATCCTTGGCCAGGTTGATGATGCTGTCGAAGAATTGAATATCTGCAGTCTTGAATTTACCGACAACTCGTTCGACCCGGCCCATATTAGGAACAGGAATAATGAATTCAGAATTTGCCTCGAATTTCTCAAGGCCGCCACGATCAACTGGATCCACGTAAATCCAACGGACTAAATCCAATTCAATATTTGTATGGAAGTGAAAAAGTGATGATTCTAGAGCACTAAATATATTTTTGTTTTGAAAATACCTAGTGTCATTCTGGATACTGCTCAAGGATTTCCTTTTTCCTGTCTAAGTCTAAAAACAGCTATTTAAATCTTATACTAAAAAGTCCTGGTTAAAAAAATTCAAGGCCCAAAAATCCCCAAAACATTTTTATCTAGAAAGTGCCAAAAAAAAAAAAACAGATATATTCTTCTTATTGCCTAGGGGTATATTTTTCGCCTAACATAAATTTGTCTAGACAGATGGCAGTCGCCTCCATCTTAAGAATTTTGTGAAATATTAATTATGACGATTGTACTGTATTCTCTTTTCATTTTATCTCTTCCTAATTACTTTTTCCTTGTTATAAAATTGAGATGAGTAATTTGCAAGCAATAGTTAATATTTCTAGTTTCAATCTTTAACAAAGAAAAAACATTGAATGTTCTTTTGCCAAACGAACTAATTCCCTATTAATCAAACTTGTGTAAGCTTTGACTTGAAGTCTACAATCCCACGAAAGAGTTGTAATATAAGAGTCTTTCGACCATTGAACAAAAGAAGAAGAAAAAACTAAGAAATAAGAGAAATGACTATCGCGTGCCGTACCTCTTTTGTGTTGATTGCCGTCATCTTCATGTCAGTCACCCTATCATCAACAGGTCATAAAATTACGGATACTCAGATAAAGCATTTGTGCTCGAAAACTCACAATTTCAACGGCTGTTATAAACTCTTAAAGTCCGATTATCACTCTGTACATGTTGACCTACAAGGCCTTGCTGGACTTTCAATTGATTTGGCTTTGAAAGTGGGCAATAAAATCAATTCCTATCTTAACTCACTCGCCGAGGAAACCCATGATTCTCAACTGCGAAATGTTTACGGCTTGTGCTCTAACAACTATAACAATGCCATTCATGACCTTGAAGTTGCTAAGGAAAACCTAAATTCAGGTTCCTACAGCAAAATGCCTGTTCAAATTAAGGATGCCTTCGAAGAAACCGAGAACTGTAAGGACCTGTTAGTGACATCGACATCGATTGATCCTGCAGACATAAAGAAGAAGAATCGTCACTTCCAATTTCTTATTAGCATAGTCATGGTCATTTCGATAAACCTGAACAAGAATTAAGAAGAATTGTCCATTACATAGAAAATCATGGTCTATTCTATTCAATCATGTAATCAAAAAAATCATTTAATGAGAAGATTTCAAGTTGTTGTTAATTTTATGTTCTCGGTTGTTATTAGCAATTTGATACAATCTCTTGGGTATCATATATAATTCCTACGAAAAAGTAAACATTATTGAAACATATTCCAACAAGGAAGATAATTATATATTGACCGATCGTATAACAATTTTAATAAATAAATAAAAAATCATTCGAACCACTTGTTATTTACAAAGAAATAGCTAATACCATCTAGTTTAAACATGCTTAATCCCGAAAATCGCCATTTATCAAATCCTAAAATCAAATTGACATATCATGTCCACATCCGTTACTACTATAGCAGAAACGTATACAATAGCCAACCAAGACAGAATTATTAAATACAAGAACTGAAAACTGAAGTTAAAACATAAAAGCATTAACTATGAAAATTAATGACAATTACCACTATATAAACAAGGCATTTGAAGAAACATTCCATTGCAGTAAAAACAACGACAAATATTAGCAAAACAAAGAGAGAGAAAAAATGGCTTACTCTTTGCTCAGAATAATCTTCGTTGCCCTAACTTTGGCAATTTCAGCCACCTCTTCATTAGGTCGCAGAGAGAAATCCGAAATCGAGAAAGACCTAAGAGATCTCTGCTCCCAGACCAATAGAACAAAAGAGTGCTGGTACGTCATCAAATCGGAGCTCAACAGATTCACCGACGCCGACGGTAGCAAAGGCGTGGCTGGTGTCGTAATCGACCTGGCAATAGCAAAAGCCGGTGAAATCCACGGCGAGCTTAACAAGCTATACAGCGGTTCCACAGACGAGAACTTGAAATTCAAGTATATGTCGTGCTCCAAAAACTACAACGACGCGAACCGAAACCTCGAATTGGCGAAGAAAATGGTGGATACGAATCATAATCGGTTTATCACAGTCGAGATCTATGATACTGTTCAGGAATTGAGGAGCTGCATGCTTGAATTCACCAAGGATTCGTTCGACCCGGCCCATATTAGCAACATGAACAAGGAATTCGGACTTTATGTGGGAATTGTAAAGGTTGCTACGAACCGTTTGCTCCAGGAAAAGCACCAGAAATAAAACCGGTTTAATATTGGCATGGGAGAAAAAAGAAAAGGAAGAATTGGAATTTGGACGTGAAGTGGAAATAGTATTCTGATGAAATATATATTGCTTTCGAGTTTCGACAAAAAAAAATAAAAAAATATTATTATAACATAGTTGTCTTCTGTAGTTTTATTATTTTCTAATCTAAAATAATGTAACTTTAGTCTTATTATTTTATTTAAAAAATAATAATTTATTTTTGTGTAGGATATTTTTTTTGCTTAAAATTTCATTCTTCTTATCACAAAATATAATATTAACGATACATAATTATAACTTGAAAATTCCAATTACTTTCAATGTAGAGGAAATTACATCCACCATTGAGGTAACATTAAATAATGAAAACAATTCATCATCTTTGGGTAATTATAACTACCTTTCGACTATGAACTTTCTTACACGTTCACCATTTGCGGTGTCAAATTTAATGGACTATTCTCCAATTTATACTCGTTTTATCTCATTCGAGTTCCACATTTTAAAACAAGATGATCATAACATATGTCTCTTGATTTGTAAATATCAAATTGTGGTGCATCAGAAACTGCATTTTTTTGCAAAAAACAGGTATAAACTAGAGAACATTCCACAACATTTAGAAAATTATAGGGGTGAGTTCGGGACGGGATTTTCGGGATCGGGATTTCGGGATTCGGGATAGAAATTTTAAATCCCAATCCCGTCCCATAATATTAAATCCCGGTAATATCGGTATCCCTAAATATTTCGGGAATTCGAGATTGGGATCG